AAAACGGAAGAGACATCAAGCTAATGAATTAGGAGGTACAGACTGGAGTGTAAATGTTTTTTTCTGGGGATGTTGTGTGTGGTGGTTGGGATTTTTTGTTTTTTTTTTTTTTTTTTTTTTTTTTTTTTTTTTTTTGGTTCTTTGCTAATCCATGAAATCTTGGTGGTTTTTCAGGATCTTAACACAGTCAATCTCGAGAATCAGCGCTTGATCAATCCCGATGCAAATAGTATTGACGAACATGAGTGACCAGAATGAATGTAATCCAGGCTGCATGGATGGAGTTGGGTTTTACAATGGGTATGGAGCATACTACAAAGCGTTATGGCAAGCGATCGAATCACATATCCTGGACGATGGATGATCATGGACACTTATGATGCAGGATGTCCTCTTAGTTTATTAGAGCTATAGACTCAGACAGTTTTGTTCTTGTTTTCAATCTCTTTCTCTAGATTACCGTGGTGTCCCGCTGAGTGAAGGGATGAAGGGCGTTATTGTGAAAGTTCTCGTTACTTTTCTGCATGTTTGCGGCGTATCGCAGAGCCTGCTGAGTCGGGGCTCATTCAGGGCGCGGTTCTCAAAATGGGCGAAGAATGTCCTTATTGAGGATACTTCGGTTCAGGGACTCCTGGCTGAATTGGAGGAGTTGACGGGGCAGGAACATAAGATGGTTTCTGCGCATACTTTGAACCTCACGAGTCAGGCTTTGAAGAATACAGCGGTGTTGCTTGAGAAAAATGAGATGGAGGTTGAGAGGGAGAGGATGGACAAGTTGAAGGCGCTGTTAGAGCCTGTTTCTGCTTCGGGGCAGGCCTTTTCGGCTATCAATGAGGGTCGGATTCCGGGGTCGGGGAGGTGGGTTGAGGAGAGGATTAGGGAGTGGTGGGATGGGAACGAGCCTTTGCTTTGGATCCATGGCGGGCCTGGCGTTGGGAAATCGTATCTGGCGTCGAAGATTATCAGTGATCTTGCGAAAGAAGGAGACGCTGTTGTTGCATCTTTCTTCTGCAAAAATAATGATGTTGATCTGCGCTCGTTTAACAAAGCTCTGCGGACCCTGGCATGGCAGGTGGTTGTCCAGCGGTCGACTTTCGCGGTCCATGCTGAGGAGTTTTGTTTGAAGGGAGATCCGGGGAATAGTTATGTTGTTTGGAGGAAGCTCTTGCTGGATTATTTTGAGGCACCATCAGACGATAGAGTTTATTTTATTATTGACGGCATTGACGAGGCTGATCCAGACGAGCAAGAGCTGTTTTTCAGTCTGCTTGAAAGGACATACTCGGATGGCATGGAAAGAAAGCCACTAGTACGAGTCGTCCTTCTAGGCAGGGCGCAGAATTCTTGACGAACACTCGCTAGGATGGGTCCATGACATTGAAATCACCAACAATCAAAACAAGGATGATCTGCACGGATACGTCTCTCAGAAGCTCCAAAAGACCAAGCTGTTTCGCAATGCTTCAGACTTCCAAGACGAAGTCGTCCGAGATATATGCACACGAGCAGAAGGCCTCTGGAAATGGGCCAATCTTGTCATAAAAAATGTACTGCGCTGCAGAACAAAGGAGCAGATCCGCAAAGTTGTCAAGACCATGCCTAAAGGAATCAGCGCGATGCTGCGTGAGGAGCTGCAGCGGCTTGCGAGGGAGTTATCAGCATCAGATACAATGTCTGATGAAGAAGGGCCCCAAATTCAACAGCTAAACATCATACTCTCCTTCGTGACACTGGCTCAGAGACCTCTGACTGTAGAGCAGCTTGATCTCATTCTGGAGATTCTTCTCGGAGAGGAGGTCCTGAATCTCGAAGATGATCTTCGCACAGTGTACTCGCCGCTGTTTTCGCTGCGGCTGCCAGAGAACGAGGAAGATGCATACAACAGATCTGCAGTTGTCACGCTGCGGCATCTTTTATGAATTTTTCGAATCGTCGTCTATAGACGCTGGGCCTGTACATGTCAACCGCGATCAGGCCGGTGCGAATTTTTTGTTCATTATGCTGTATGCTCTCGCAAAGACTGATGCGCCAAGTTCCTATAAGTTCCTAGGGCCTCTCAAAGTATACGAAAAGAGGTGCCTCCCATTGCATCTCAGGTCAGCGGATCCAGAAAAAGTAGCGGCGGGTCGACGAGAAGATGTCTCATCTCTTCTTGCGGATCTCTTGACCGATGAATCATTACTCAAGAACTGGATCATTAACCAAATCTACACCCGGTTCTTCTCCAGCCACAACTTCCACTTATCCACTGAGATCTTGGACCTTGGGCAGTATTAGTTCAACTGTGGCAATTAGGATACCGCAAACCAGGTAGCAGAGGCAGTCCTTGCTTGGCTTATCCCTGATAAGTGGAGAACTTTTGAAGAAACAGCAGGTGACAATGCATGTCCCTTTGAAGTCCTGTTCTTGGTAATGGTATGAACCATCGGGCACGTCATGGTATCATTGTTGGGAAGGACCCGGGCCTTAGGCTTCCCGGGGTAGTCATGGGGTCCACCAGTGGTCTTGATCCACCCGCCACAGGCAGAGCATCGGACAGCCATGTTGATGTTGGCTAAAGTCGTGGATCACAGTGGTTTAGAAGGCAGATAAATTTATAGTTAACGATGATCAAAACAGACTTGATAAGCACGGGGACGATAAAATAGTTTGGACCGAGTCTGGCAGAGATGAAGGCAGTATTTATGTTCACACCTTCCAGGTGACTTGAGTCCTTGACATATGCTACTCCCTTTTGAGGCAATGTTATATCTTTGCGCCAGATGCCTGCTGACGCGTCCGTGACTTAACCAGCCTAAGTGATCCAGTTAGAACAGTGAATCACAATATCCTAGGATCAGCATATGGGACTAGTAGTCAAGAGTTTTGCTGCACGCTTGTTGGGACTTGTGGTTGTCTCATTTGGTGCTAAGCTATTGGTTTGTTGCGCCCTCATGCCGCCCAGTACTCTGTTTTAATGACCGTGCGACCACAATATCGTTAAAAAAAAGCTCTATTCACGTTGTCGTTCGAAAGCAAAACTCAAGGAGCAATAATACGCTCTCTAACTCAAAAAACTCCGCATATTACTCTGTTTCTTCTTCAATCATGAATCCGTATGTGACGGAGCCAGAGCACATCCCCTCCACTGACCTATACGCGGATGTTCCACTTTATGGACGGTACCGTCTGAAACCAGGCGGCTTTCGTGTTAATCCAGAGCACGTTGGCTCCCAGTCCTCGCACTCGATGCAATACTGGGAGTCAGTAGTTGGCCTCTGCGATGAATCCGTCAGAATATATCCGGCGAACGAAGGTGGTCGTGATGTGTTTGCTCTTGGAAGTGTCATTGTCAAATCAAGTCACCTACATGAGACACGAGAGATTGACTATTCATTCGCTGACGCTAATGAGGTCCGCGCCATTACTATTGCCAAGGACATACTTGGAGATATTAGAGTGCCGGAAATTTACTTTGCAGGCAAGGTATTTACTCTCTGGCTGTTTTATGATTATTTTAAATACTTACACCACTTCAGATTCATGACCGCCAAGTGCTGATCCAAGAGAGACTCCCGGGTGTTGCTTTGAGTGTTGCATGGCCGTACCTCTCTCAAAGCGAAAAGCAGTCCTTTAAAGAGCAGGCACGACTGATACTTCGACAGCTGCATACAGTCAAGCCTATCGATAGATGTCAGGTGCGGTCTCACGTTGTCCGAGATCCCTACATCCTCAGTAATGGCCGGATCAATCCTTTAGAAGGCGCGATTCTTTTCTCTGATACTAATACCGACCTGGATATGAGCTTTATGCATAGCGACTTCACCCAATCTAATTGCATCGTTGACAATGGCAAGATCGTGGGGCTCATTGATTGGGAAATGGCTGGATTCTTCGGTTGGAAAACGGCTGGCGAAGTCCATCGGAGGATCCGAACACCACAAAGGGAACATTTCGCGAATGCCTCTTTGAGCGAAGAGAGTCTTCAAGATATTATGTTTTGGAATGATCTCTATGATGATGGCATGCCTGACTTATAAAGATAGCTGGGATTTGTATTGTACTCCAGTTGTTTATGCTCTCCCGTCTCCCTTTTCTTTGACTTGTCCAAACAGACCTTAAATCAGTCAACCAAAAGATTTATTGCTAGATGATGCAGGCGATAAACGGCTTCAAGCCAAGTGGTTACGAAAGTGCAGTTTTATGTCACTACTAGTATATCCACACCGTCGAGTGTTAATTTTCAAGCATAGAGCGCTTAACCCCCAGGGGAGGTGAACATTTGGAGAAGAAACCATCATGGAGAGGTAATATCTGTCACGCTTTTACCGGTATCTAAAGCTTCCAACTTTATGACCTTACCAGTCTCCTAGGGCGGCATAATGAGCGGCGTGCTAGATGCCTACTGAGTTTGATAGTTAGGTAACTTAGGTCAGCGCGCAGGTCTGCGGGTTTTTATCCAATAAGAGCCTCAGAGCTCTGCACAGACGCCCGAGATAGCGCAGTCGATCACAATTTGGGGTTCTTTTTTTTAGGGTCTCTTTTAAAGTCCACCTTATTTTGATGCTCCTGTAAATCGACCTCAATATTGTAATCGAAGAAATATGCGCGTATTATGCAAGTATGGATGGCAACAACTCCCATCAGGTCGTTAGTGATTTAGCCTTGTGCTGACGCTACACCCATTAGGACTGCTCAAGAAAATAGGCAAATGACGCCATCAACTGAGGAGATGAAGCAATCAATCAATCACATTTCAAAATTGTCTGGGTCGCTGATAAGAGTCACCTTTTTTTGACGTCCCTGCTAGTCGACCTTAATGTCGTTGACAAAGAAGTATGTGCCATGTAAGTATGATTGGCAGTGATTGCTTGATTCTATGGGCAACAGCCTAAACGGCCATTTTCCTAAGGGCAGAACGAGGATTCTAAATTGCATACAGTATCAAAAAAGAAAAAGATAAATAAGGAGCCAAATGTCCCTCAAGCCTTTACTGGGACCCATCACCAGTTCATGGCTTTCAAATCGCTGTTCAACTCCATATGTTCTCAATGGAAGTTTTATTTTGACAATTTTGTTCATTGGCTAATGACTCTTTCACAAAAACTACAGGGCTCAAAGAGAGTACGCCCTGATTCCTTTATCTTGCCTTGGGGGAAGGATCCAGAACTGGAATACCCACCTCCTACGCTTCAGAACGCCAGGAGCCCCAACAGGGAGGCTAGTGTAATAGTCAACCAGTGCCGAAGTTCGTTGGCTCGTCCGGCATCCAGCCTTGACGACGACATCGATCCGCCGGGGTTCTCGTATAATACGACGCCGCCTCTCGAACCACTAGTGAGACAGTATTGACGGAGAGCTGAGTTAAGTAAGTGGTGTCTACTGTAAAGCTTAACTTCTGTTACTAAATTCATTTGTGATGGATGATCTAACTGGCGCCTTTAATTCCAGGACTCACTAGATCTATGACGTTGGACACACTCTCCTACCTAGTACCTCACTTGTATGTTACTTGGTTTATACTTGTTCTGGTTGCAGTGACCTGTTACTGCTTGAGACTAGTATATCTAAGGATTTGTCAAGGCTATTGAACGAAAATTTAGAGACCTACAGTGGACTGTTTTCACAATGGATATGCTATCCAAAGGCTCTATCAAGGCTCAGCTCATTTCAACAAGCTGCTGCAAAGCGCATTAGTTCATAACCTTTAGCTAATTTGGTGAGTGCATCAATGCGGACCTTTCTGGGAACACTCTCTGGTATATATGGGAAAATTTTGCAGGAGTCTTGGATTCAATTGAGTTTCGCATTAACAACAGCTTTCCACTAATTGACAAGATGATAGGTCACATGTGGCTTCCAGAACATCTTATGAAGCAACAGGAATTTTGTCGTTCTGCAGAGTGGGTGTAAGTGAAATTCTATGGTATTATGTCCGCATTTTAACACTTCACAGATGGGGGGTACTTTGGCTGTATACCTACATTGGTTACATCGAGGAAGTTTCTACAGCGGGGATCTCTCTTGACCACCTATTGGAGTTGCTGGTTGGCAGACAATTAGAAGCCCTAACCTTTGTTGGAGTGGGACGCTTACAAGTCGAAAATGATGGTATGCAGGGTCGTTCGCGTACTGAAAGCGACGACGACAGGAGGCAAGATCCATCGAGACCGTGGGTGGTGTGCACTGTCACCCTGAGCATCACGAAGGAAAACGGGAGCGGCTGGAAGGGGGCAGTGGTCTGGGCAAAGACGGTCTGGAAGAGGAACATTCGGGGAAGTATTTGATGGAGGCGAGTAATTGTATCTAGACCACGAGGTATTTGGATTCCGCTGTTCAAGGTCGCTCTTTTGGGTCTCTTCGATAGTACTTAATAGCGAAAACAAGAAATAAGCTTGTGAAGGTTGTGGCCGGACTAGCCCTTGCGAAGTATCTCATTTGGACTATAAGACCATAAAGATAAATTCCCCATGTTAATTAAGAGCTGGAGGGAAAATATGCACCTAAAAGTTGCTAATACTAATGGCCAGTCTTTGTTCACAGCTGCCTCATCCATCTGATACTCATTTTTTGCAATGGCAGCACGGGTCTGATATTCCTGATAATCTTACGATATACCTAAAGAGAAGTAGATTAAGATTGGAAAATTCAGAACGTCCACGGCACCAGGCCATTCATCTTAGTCCGATACCACCAACATGCCGGCTGCTGCGAGGTTTGTGTTTTCTGTGCCTATATGCTTGATAAGTGTTTACTATATTAGTAAGAATTATAGCTAGGGCTGCGATGGCATTGCGCCGGATGGGCCGCTTTTCTGTTGAGTTTGTCTTAGATCAGCTGATGAGCACAGACTTGCGTTTGCTAGCATCTAACAGTCTTTTCCTGGTAATACTCCGTTCTTCGCTCATACCGAGTCGGACGTCGACTGGGAAGGCCCACTTTGCAAGTATATTGAGGGGCTCCATTGGTTAACTTCGAACCCCCAGCGATAGATCAGTGGTTGTTGACCAACGTAGACTAGATGCCTGTTAAAGCATCAGTGACATGTGTGAGGTCAGCGTTAAATGTACTGCTGTTAACATCACCCCACAAGACCATCCAGATCTCGCAGGCCGGTTGAATAACCTGGGCGACATGTTCTCAGACCGATATTATCGAACCGGGAAGATGGATGACCTGGAAGAGGCTATTCAAAAGGCACAGAGAGCCATTGACATCACGCCAGAAGACCATCCAAATCTCGCAGCCTGGTTGAATAATTTGGCCAACAGGCTCTCAGCCCGATATAATAAGATGCATGAAAAGAAAGATAGGTTTACATGTACTGACAGCTACATAAAAGCCTATAACTGCAGCAGTGCAAAACCTCTAACTCGAGTTCAAGCAGCCCGCGAAGCCATCAAACTTCTAGTTGAGGATGAGGATTTTCCAAAGGCCGTTTCCTTAGCTGACAGAGCTCTCTCCTTGCTGCCTTTGGTGTGCGGCCGCTCCTTAAGCCGAGAAGACCAGCAGCATGCCATTACCCAAACAGCTGGCCTGGCTGCAGAGGCCTGTTCCGTTCTCCTCAAAACGGCGGGTGATCCGGTGCGTGGAGTGGAGTACTTAGAGGAGGGACGCGGACTTATCATTGGCTATCTCATTGATGGCCGTAGCGATATTTCGGACATGACAGAGAAGTATCCGATTGAAGCGAAAGAATTCGACCGGCTCCGGTATAAAGCTTCTGCTCCCACCAGCCTTGAGAGCCCCCCCGAAATCCGAAGGCAGCTATCCCGAGAACGTGATGAGGCTGCGAATGATTTAGAAAGGCACTTGAAACATATCCGCACTTTGCTGGAGTTTGACCGATTCCTTTTGTCTCCTTCATCTGATAACTTAAAGCATTATGCTGTTGAGGGTCCAATTGTGATTGTGAATGTCACTTCTATCAGCAGTGATGCCTTGATCATCTCACCATCAGGCGCCAAACACGTCCCTTTGCCCGACTTTCCCGCATTAGATGTGGGACAATACCGTCCTTGGGCATTGACCAGAAGCTCATCCCGGTTCATCAAGAAGGAAGGGGGAGGGAGTCAAGGCCAAGATGCTGAGTTTCGGCAATTCTTGAGCCGTCTGTGGTCCGACTGTGTCTGTCTGGTGCTGGATGAATTGGGCTTTCTTCAGCCCGTGTGTGATGAGGAGCTTCCTCGGATATGGTGGATAGGCACTGGATTGGCTAGCGGTCTCCCATTCCATGCGGCCGGTGATCATTCGGAGGGCTCAGCCGAAAATACTTTTAGTTGCGCTATTTCCTCCTATACTCCTTCCATAAAGACATTGCGGTATGCCAGGGATCACGCAGCTGTGAAGCCTTGCACGCAATTGCTTCTGCTGGTGACCATGTCAAGAACTCCAGCAGTACATGATCTTCCTGGCGTTGAGGCAGAGGCTAAAGCTATCCAGGATACTGTCAGTGAACCTCATGTCCTGCAATCATTGTCCCAGCCTAGTGCGAAGTTGGCCCTGCAGAGGATGAAGGATTGTAGTGTCGTGCATTTTGCGTGCCACGGATCGTCTGATATGACAGATCCCTCTAATAGCTACCTGGCACTACAAGGGGAGTCAGACTTATTCCCTGATCCACTCACTGTACAGAAGATCTCGGAGTCGCATCTGGGCCAGGCATGGCTTGCATACCTGTCGGCGTGCTCGACGGCTGAAAACCAGGTTTCGGACTTGGCGGATGAGGCTCTCCATCTGGCGAGCGGCTTTCAAGTAGCGGGTTTTGGACATACTGTGGCGTCTATGTGGCCCTCCCATGACGACACCTGTGTGCACGTGGCAAGCATCTTCTATCGTGAACTTCTCATAAATGGTGGCCTGCAGAAGGGCAACCGGGGAGTGGCGGCAGCGTTGCACAGTGCTGTGGCAGACATTCGCCGACGACATTTGGAGCAGCCGTACTCGTGGGCACAATATGTCCATTTCGGAGCCTGAGTTAGGTATAGACGCTTCTGTTTTGACCCCGTCAGTTTGGTCATTGACAACAGGCTAGGAGAGTGCGCTTTGCATGGCAGCTAGCAAAGTTGCGGGGAGACAGAGAGGTGTAGAAAGAAACTCAGCACTGGTTGGACCTAGATTCAGATGCGTGTGGGCCCAGTGGCTACATCCTAGATCTTTGGTCACGCTCCTAATCTATATTGTCTTTTTTGATTCATTAGTGTTAGCTGCCTTGCTGTTCTATCTTCACCCTATTTACCTGAAGCTCACCTGAACCTGAATATAACTCACCCAGTGACCCTGCACAACACCCTTCTGCTGACATGTCCATCTCAGCACTATTACTTCTGATTATTACAAGATCCTGTGGCCTTTTACGTGTTAATCAAGCTGGCCTAGACCATGTTTGCAACCCTTGCAGGATCATTCTTAACTAAAAGGTGAGATGCAGGCCGACCGGGGACCGCCTTTGGTGGACTTCATAATTCTTTCTGAGACGCTACTTGGTTTACGCTTGAGAGCCACTGTCAGAACAAAAATGTGACATCTACTCTACCTCTCTACTGAAATTGTCATCTATATTTTCAAACTCCTAGATGGCCTGGATGATGCGTTGCACCGCTACTGCGATCTCCAGTCGAGTTCCGATACAACGCAAGATCATCCTCGTGGCATAACGGGCAAGTGCAATCCTCAACGCAAGTTCTTCTATAGCGGGCAGGCCCTTCGACAGGCTGAATATGTGCCGAAAGGTATGGTGCCTCTGGTTGGTTCCGGTGGCCAAAGACAAGTGGTATGGATTGAGGAATGGAAGGATAAGCTTTTGGAGAAGTGGACGTACACAGAGACAGAGACGGTGGATTCTAGTGATAATGGGCTGTCGGGTTGGTGTATGCAGGTCTTGCCCGAGGCGCAGAGGGATCGGTGGGAGAAGTTCTTCAGGGTATAAATCATCGTTCGAGGCATGCTACCATGAGAAACGGGGCCATAGAGATGGTTGAGATGATGAAGCAACCGAAGAGCTTGTGAGATGGTCTGCAGCAATATACTATATGGGCCCGGATTTCCGAGGTGCCTGGTCTCACACATGTCGTCCGAGTAAGCCCCGACATATATTATTCAGTAAGAGACGGACATGACATCGTGGACAAGAAATTTTCCGGTGAGGATAGGGCGAGGGATTATCTACAGGCTACCGTCAGCCACGAGGATGTACTATTATGAGCATGGCGGGACCAGAAATCCCAGTCTGACCCATGTTATCGACAGTTCAGAAAAGAGGATACACTCTTGGTCAGAAATTGTCGCCGGGATTGCCTTTGGTGGCTTTCTCCTAATGGCTTCATGTAACAAGCTCAGGATTCAGGAACCCCACAGGTGGGTCCGCAATCGGTCCAGCGTTAGTTCCCGCAACAATTTTATATCACAGGCAATATCGATGACCACATGTATCTTTACTAGAATCATTACCTGATTTGTGTCTGACAAGCGTACGTGACGATGTGGTGACTAATTCAGCTAGCCAGTGCTCTCCGTCCACTTCTTCTCCAAGCTGGCCTTGCCGCACTCACCTCTTGGCAGAGGACGCTAACCGGATCAATCCTACTTCGTCAGAGCCTGTGGGATGTATATTTTTGCCACTAGCACGCCCTTCGCTTATTAAGGGCTGTCGACTTAGTCGCCTGATCGCAGCATTTTCACTGTCGAACAGTGGCGCAGAACACAGGCATATTTTGCAGTTCACAGACCGAAGCAGTGGAAGACAGGGGATGAAGGCTGTGGGCAACATGAACCCCGCTTGGCAGCATCACTTTACGGCACATACGCTATCCTGTTCGTGTTCTAGCATGGACAGCTAGGCGGCACACACTAACGCAGCATTCCCTTCTGTTGTTGTTCCCATGCAGTCCCAGGCAGAACTGAAGTCATAATTAATTATAATGCCTCTCGCCGTCGACAAATAGCTCAGCCCTCCGACCCTGTTCTCGGCTCAATACTCCTCATCAGTGAAAATGGCCACCACATTGACCAAGGATCTCACTGAGAATTCTTTCGAGAATCCTCCCCGCCAGAGGATCCTCGTTGGATCAGAAGGAAACACTTGGATTTGGTCTCCTGACGGCTGGGACCTGACTCACTCAGCAGACCCAAGCTCGAAATTGCCAGGGAGAGGCGTCCACCTCGATTGCGAACTCGTCAACGTCAAAATTGACCCAATCAAGACGGCTTTGGTAATCATCGACATGCAGAACATCGGTTTGAACAAAGCACTCGAGCCGCCGTCCGCCCCCCCAATGTATGAAGCTCAGGACGCGATTCTCCAATACGCCATACCGGCCGCGCGCAAGCTTGGCCTCCAGATCATCTGGCTTAACTGGGGCCTCCCTGAGGATGATCTCGCCAGCATGCCACCGGCCGAAGTTCGCGTGTTTGCCTTCGATGTCAACACGGAAAAGGCCGACTACGGACTTGGGGACCGGCATGGCGACCCTGATGATCCTGCAAACTTCCTCAAATGCGGTGAACGGCCAAATCTCAACAAATTACCAGGCACGGAGCTCGGAGAAATCGTCTTGGAGGATGGCAGCCGGGTCAACGCCGGCCGGGTGATGATGAGGGGAACCTGGAATACTGCCTTGCATGGGCCCTTGGCCGGCGCGTACGAGGAGGGCAAGAAAGCGGCCCGCCCAGACGTTTGGATCCATAAAAATCGCAACTCTGGTCTCTGGAACGAGAAGTCTGCGTTTGGCGAGTATCTGAAGAAGGAAGAAATCCGCACCCTCCTGTTTTCGGGTGTCAACACCGATCAGTGTGTCGGCGCTACTCTACAAGACGCTCATGCTCAAGGTTTCGACACCATCATGCTGAAAGACGGTTGTGGAACAGATAGCCTGCCATATGCAAAAGCAACTTACGAGTTCAATTGTGCCCGATGCTGGGGCTTTCTAACCAGCTGTAAAGCCCTTGCGAAAGCAGCAGAAATCGTCTCAGTAAATCCATTATGACGGAGCTACGTGATAGAGCCACATCGTGCAAGTGTTATCTCGAGATGTGCTTCAAAAGTACTCCAAGAAGCGAAGCCGCCTCTGCTCGTCGGTCATCTTTCCGAATTCCTCTACCTCTTTATCCTTGACGGAGATGAACCACTTCAGCAAGTCTTTGCCAATCCAAGTCTTCAGAGCAACATCCCTCTTCAAATAATCCAACGCTTCTTTGAACGTGACTGGCATGCTCTTGTGCATCCCATACTCGGCCCGCATACTCTCGTCCAACAGGTGCGGGAAGAACTTGCAATCCTTCCAAACCAACTCCGTCTTGTTTGCAAGCCCATCTAAAGCAGCAAGCAAAACAGTCGCAACGAACAAGTATGGATTTGCGGTGCTGTCCATCATGCGGAACTCCCAATGCCAGTTGCCGATCTTCCGCACCGGCAAGTCGCGGTTATCGGTGCCGAATCCGATCCATGCGCCCGTAGCATCGCTGGTGGAGCGGACATAGCCGTCGTAGTTTGCCATTCCGAAGGTACAGAGCGAGCCCATGTGGTTGAGGACGCCGGCAACGAAGTTGTCAGCCGACCCATGTTCGAGCTTGTTGAGGGAAAGATGGAGGTGCAGGCCGCTTGACGGTCCAGACAGTGTCGGTTTCGGGGTCATGGTCGCCTTGAGATTCCGACGCACGCATATCGCGCGAATGGCTTCTTGCGCCAGAACAAGAGAATCGACGGCTTCCAGTGCAGGCTCGGGGGCAAGAGCAATCTCCAGCTGATCCTGGACTTCTGCATGGAAGTGGTGAATGTTGATGGAAGACTGCTTGAGGGCGTCGGCAATCTCTTCAACCAGGTCCAATGTTTCTCCGCGCAGTCCAGCCGTTCTCGAGTAGCCGTTCAGCCGATCTAGCGGCTTAATGACATTGTCTGACCCGTCCAGCAGCACGAACTCGATCTCGAAGCCTATCGAGACCTTTGCACCCAATTCCAGTTCAAGTTTTTCGAGAGCCTGGACAAGCAGCATGCGCGGACATTTGTCGAACCTCGTCTCGGCATCCTTCTGGTCGACAAAGCTCATGGCGGCCGCGTGGTCGGTTTTAAAGCCGCAACGACGCAGGGCGGACCAGTCGGGGCGCAGGTACCATGTCTCGTGATAGTCGCTGAGGGAGAAGATTCTCGGGCGGTGGATATGGGTATGATCATGCTGTTCTGGGCGAGGCAGATGGTTTCGCTGCCGCTGGCGATTCGAAGGCAGCGAGCGATTCCACCATGCAGCTAAAGAGTGGAATCACATCACAAAGAAAGCCAATTTTTACTTTCCTTTCTACTTTCAGGTGGGTCTAGTATATACATAGACCATTGCTCTATACTCAAATCATATTACAATAATACCTAACCTTTTCCCCATTCACTGATAGTTTGCTAACACTCAGCCTAAGATATGAATCTATTTATTCTATCTTTATAACATGTCCTTGGTTATCATCTCACACATAAAATCAACTTTTTCCTTCTTTCTTTAAGCACTAATCCCTTTCTTCCATCATAAAATGCTATTTCCATCCCGCCCAATGATCCAGACCCAAGATGTGAAGGGGGCCGCACTCGCCCTTGTGTTAAAAGGGGGCACAAACAGGGTACTATGGGACAGTTGCCATCTCGTCTGGGACTCTTATGACCTACTCGAGGAATCACCCACAAAAGAAAACCAGGTAAGTGCGTCTCCCTACTGCAACCACACCAATCGGGTAAACTTCCAGAATCGTGATGAATTAAGAAACTAATATTCGGTAACTCAGATGGCAGTCTTCGGGGTTAGAGGAAAGGTCGAAACAGAAGGACACGAACAACTCGATTTTCAAGTCCGGTACACTGCCAACTCCGATACTCAGCCCCGATATAGGCTTCATGTTGCCGTAAACGGACCTTCTGGTGATACTGAAACAGATGAGCAAAATGGAATAGACATTATTGAATGCAACCTGCCTGAAGAAAATGAACAGCAGAGGCGCTTCTATGAAACCATCCGCTCCCTCACACAACAAGTACAATCCAAGGGAGTGGAGGCGACAATACAATCATTCATGAATTTATAATGAAGGTGCTACATCTTATGATGAAGGTGCTACATCAGGACTTAGTGAATGGAGACGGGGTTCCCAACAGCATTCCCAATGGGGTTTCCAGTGGTGTAGTCGTGACAATAATGATGACAATAATCCAACCGGAAACAGTAACAATGGACCCCCCTGAACCCGCACCTATCTATAGCCACCATTTTCAGTAAAAGAGACCACCTCTGGACCGATACCAGTCCCCCAGGCCAGAGTGGAAAGAGACAAAGAGCCCGAGGCCATCCATGTCGACGCCCGGAGTTACAACGACCAGACCCTGGCAAAGTCCGCTATCTCCGGCGGGCTGTCTGGTGTTTAAATTCGAAAGACTCGTGAGTGTTGTCTAGTCAAGTTGCAACCTCTATCGTTCATCATGGCTCCTAAGAAACTCACCTGGCTCATCACCGGCTGCTCCTCTGGCTTCGGCCTCTCCCTGACGCGCGCCGCACAGACTGGCGGCCATAGGGTCATTGCGACCTCCCGCAATCCCTCTCGAACCCCCGAACTAGTCGCTGAGATCGAGGGTAAAGGGGGGAAATGGGTCCAGCTGGATGTGGACAGCCCGCAGAGTGGTGATGTGATTACAGAGCTTGAAAAGAGTGGCGACCATATTGATGTGCTGGTCAATAATGCTGGCTACTCCATCTACGCGCCCATTGAGACTTTCACCGAGGAGGAAATTCGATCCCAGATGGAGACAATGTACTTTAGTCCGCTGCGTCTAATCTGCGCAGTCCTGCCTCATATGCGCCAGCGCCGGTCTGGTGTGATCATCAACATGAGCAGCGGTGCCTCGCTCGATGGTATCCCTACAATGGGCGTCTATGCGGGCGCGAAGGCTGGATTGGACGGTATTTGGACATGGCTTCTCTGTGGCGAGACTGGTAGTTAACAATGGGCCTGATAGCTCTCACCAAGATCCTTGCTAAGGAGGTTGCCCCCTTCAACATCCGCACCCTGACAGTCGTCCTCGGCACTTTCAACACCAACATGCCCAATACTGTGGTTCTGGGCAAGACTCCCCTCCCAGAAGACTATAAGGGGACCTTCACCGAGCAGGTGCAGGGTCTTCTGGTCAGCGGGAAGATCAAGCCTAATGGTGACAAAGATAAAGCAATGCAGGCCTTGTACCAGGTCGTTGTTGGTGAGGGAGTCGGTGAGGGACATGAGGCAGAGAAGCTGCTGCCTCTAGGAAGTGATATGACTCCTCGTCTCAAGGGAGTCCAGGATTATCTCGGCCATGCTTTGGAGGTGTTTGGCTCTGTGACCAATAGTGTGGATGTCGATAGATAGATTTCTATATTCTGTCTTGAATGGGATCGTCTACCTCTGCCAATGGTATGATTCAATAGATTCTATTGCAAATCACCTGGCCGTATTCAGGATATCAAGTAGCCTGGTGCAAGATATTGCAGAGCTTCTGGGTAGTCGGGCTAATCTCTGTCCATTCTTAGCAAACTCCGGGAGAGCATAGCGGAGAAGATGAGGTTTCTGTTGGACATGTTGACAGTATTTTAGGGGATATCCTAGATGGCTGCCGATATCTCAACCTTGCCTAGTACTCGCACTCGAGGGCACAGACGAGGATCAAAATTCTTCCCCACCGACACAACTAGCCGACAAACTGAAAAAGCGAGGCCTCCTCAATGTGCTTCACGCGCTTGGTCTCGGCATAGCTTGCCTTGAGGACATTCACGCTGTAGTAGAAAGCGCCGTCGTGCAAGACAAACATGCTAGGCAGACCGCGGGGGATCAGAGCGAGACAATCATCGGGCTCAGAATGAAAGCCAAGGCTGTACCATGTTGAACAATGTGCGCACGAACTGACCCTGGAATGCTGCCGGCATTCCTCTTTCAGGTATGGGACAAGATCATCTTCCATGAAGACGGTAAGGTACATGCCGTCATTTGCGCGGATCCGCGTCCTTCCTTCATGTACCGAGAGCTGAAATGGGATGCCAGCGCTGTACGGATTGCCGCCGAAGATGAGCTTGCCGTTGAAATTCCCGGCATCACCGAGCCAGAGGTCGTCGCGAGTAACGGGATACAGAGCAAACTGCTTATCGGGATGGTAAAGGTCGATTCCATCTGCAGAAATAGGATGAGCGGAATTGATGACAGGCTCGGCAAGTGATAGGATAGGAGCATTATCCGCGCTGTCGGTAATTTCAGGATCCTCTGGGTCAATCTGAACGTCAAGTGCTTCATCGATATTGCCTGTCCAATGCCCCTCCTGGGAGAGGTACTGTGACCCACAGCAGATGTGAAACACACTGTCTTTATAGATGGGATGACTGTGAAGCTGGCCAACATATGCATGATCTCTAATTATGTGGATTTCATCATCTGAAAGGTAAAACAGGCTCCCATGGCCATGGTAATCACTGTGTAGTGTGAAGCTATTGTCCTCATAGCGAACAGCGAGGTATTTGCTAGTGACTATGAAACGAAACGGCCTGTCCAGCCCCTCGTCATCTGGATTGAGCTGTTCATCTGCCATGACACAATCTGTTTATTATGGTCAGCCTTTCTTCTCTGTACGGGACTCTGGAGCAATGCCATGAGTCAGTCAGTAGCTACCTACGTTGGAACGGACTGTTTCATATTTGGGTTGGGTAGTATGTATCCGTAGATGGAAGTAGATAGAAGTAGATGAAGAAAGATTTAAGTTATATGTACAATGTGGGTCCCAGGCAGGTTGAGGCAGCCATCAACATTAATGTGTATCTAAGTAGCATACTGAAGGGGGAAAGGAAATACATGGGCTCTAATGTCGGCAATAACTTAACTGCAAGAGGGGAAGTTTGAATCTTATCATAACTCATAAGCTTTCAAAAACTCAACTCTCATCATAACTCGCCCTGCGGCCTGCATTTAATAATGCCATCATGATGAGGCACCGCTAATTCTTATATATATATTAGTCACCACACCACTTTTTGAATATCCTGTCTCTATCAAAGAATCATCCACCCGTATGACCGCTCTCCAAAATGCTCAGTACAGGATCTAGAAGTGATGGCAAGAACTGGGGAAGTGACGACCTGGAGGGTCTCCCTCCAACCGTCAGTATTTATCCATGGGAAGGGCCCGATCATTTCCAGAACATCGTCAACTCAGAGCTCCATCGATTCAAAGATCAAGAACGCTCATCTCCCTGCGACTGGATAGTCTCCTCTAACGTTTCCGAAACCATTTTCGAACGCGACTTCGAAGAAGAAACCGATCTGAGCAAACAGTGGAAATCATATAATCGCTCCCGTCAACTCCTCTTCGTTGAAATCGCCAGGGGCACCGCCGAGCATACAGACGCTACGCAGACTTTCAATTATATCCTGAAGGAAGCGGTCGATCGGATGGGACTGTCGACTGCCTTGAAATGTTTCTCAGGCATCGCGATTAAAGGAGATGACCGGGCCAAATTGCCTGATAATGGCTGGGGTCCCAAGCATCCCCCGGCCGGCCGTTCTAGAAAATGGCCAACGGTGATGCTAGAGGTTGGGGTCTCCCAACGAAAATCAAAGCTCGAGGAGGACGCGCGTTTCTGGCTAGAGGAGTCAGAAGGCGACGTCAAAATCTCCCTAGCAATATCGGTGAATCGACGAATTCCGGAGATCGTGCTAGAAAAGTGGAAGGTCAGCGACGGAAAGCCAGCAATGGCACAGAAGGTGACGGTCTGGCGCCGGAATGAAGACATCTTGTTCGATAACGAGCCCCTCGTTATTGAATTTGAGGATCTGTTCTTGCGAGAAGCAGACACCCCCCAGGAAGTCAACATTGAGTTCGACCAGCGTAATCTGCGGCGTCTCGCCGAGAGCATCTGGCTGGAGCAGGGGTTCTTGGAGTAGTTTAGGGATCCGGGCTTCTTCAGAGAGACCCGAGAGAAACGAGGATCGAGGTCAGTGGTCCATTGTGAGGTTAAACGTGAAAGGAAAGCTTTGGACTGATGAATGACTAATCCAGGTAATGAATATTGAACAGTAAGGTAGTGTACCAGTAGTGCTGATACGTACATTGCTTTAAAGTTCGGTTAATTTATAGAAGCATGTCGTAATATGGGTATCAAATGCTCTGCGCTAGTGATCAGTGTAGAAACATTCTCTGGAAGCAAAGCACCGCCCCTTTCTACAAGGCCATATCGAAAAGAGGTAAAAGCATCAAGCCTCCTCAAGTCCCATCCCCTTTCCGATCTTCCGAATCAGGGCCCGCTTCAAGAATGCTTCTCGCGCCAAACTGCGCGTATGCCGCGACCACGTGTCGACACCGATGACTCCTTTGACTAAAGCAGCTTGCAGGGCGTAAATAGCCTGCTGGATTCCTCGTTCTTCGGACACGAGGTCATAAAGCTGCTTACCAACCACGGTAGGGGCGACGAGAACCTCGTCGATGGGCGGCAGACCTGATGGCGCCGCGTCTGAGCTCGAGCTTGAGGCCTGGGCTTGAGCAGTGGCCGAGGAGATGCGGGCCTGTGCGTCTGCGATGACGCCGTCGGCACGGTGGAGGGATTGCTGGAGGATGGAGGTGTTGGACTGCAGAGTTGAGTTGAGAGCGTTGATGGAGGAGATCTCGCCTTGTAGGGTTGCGATGGCGGCTTGAAGGGACTGGGACTGGGAGAGGAGGGAGTGAGCAGCGGACTCGGACTGGGAGACATTGGCTTGGACGGTTTCGGCGAGGGTCTTGGAAACAGCGTGCAGGAGGGCGTCTTTTTCAGGGTTTGGCGGGATCGGTGGTGCAGGACCTGTGGGTGTGAACGAGGGGAGTTCAAGCTCGAAGGGTGAAGTCAGGAGATCCGGTGCTTGTCTCTTTGGTTTCGGCGCTGGCTGAGGGGTAGCGATAGTCGGCTGCGCTTGGCCATGAGGTAGAGGCTGCATGGCCGGCTGCGGTGGCTGCTGGTACTGAGCACCATTCTGCCGGTACAATGAGGGATGTGCAGGAGCTTGTTGCACAGGGAACGACGGCTGCTGAGGTCCTCGAGGTAGGCTGGCAGGCGGGGGACTTCTGGGCGTGCCACCGACGCCTGGTGGAAATGTTGGCCCGGTCGTATATGCTGGCATTGCCTGGACTGCATTGTGGTGTGGTGGTTGCGACAACCCATACGAGCCCACTGTCCCTCCAGGTGCACCACTTCGCTCAGGATGGTATTGGAAAGACCTGTTGGGGACATGACTGCCCATGCTCGCATGAGATTGCAACGATTGACGTCGTAGATCTTGTTCTTTTGGCGGTAATGGCGGTAGAGGTGGAGGAGAGCTGTACCTCCCGGCTGGTGATGCTTGCGGTTGTTCAGTAGCGACCGCCTGCCCTGGCTTTGGAGGCGGCGCTGGCGGCAACTGCCCAGTCGGCTGCGGCGGAGCGCTTTGAAGGGTGGTCGGAGGACGATGCGTCGACGAACCCAGCTCTGGGGGCAGAGGAGGCAAGGGGGGAGGTGTCTGCGTAGGCCCTGACTGTTGAGGTCCTTGCGGTACCTGTGGCTGTTTGTACTTGACCGGCGGTTCCTTCGCAAAGACCTCCCGAAGAATCATCAGAAAGTCGACGAGGTTCGATCTCTGCGTAAGATGGCGTAAGTCAGTCACAATTCCTTCGGAGAAGAGTCCAATGCAAGGTATCACGCAAACGAACATCCCATGCCTCAGCCCAGTGCGCGAGATAGTGGTGATACACTCTTCCCTCCAGCGTCACATGCTGCCCTACTCGAACGGCCATGTCCTGCGTCGGAGTTACGTAGACCATTGGGGGTTCGCGTGGGTATGTATTCGGAATCCATAATGCGATTGGAAATTTGTAGACGGTGCCGCGAAATGACACTGGTATTGTGCCTGTCAGGTGGAGGAGTAAGGCCGAGAAACCGGTTTCGTATGCTGCAGGATGAACGACCTTCATTAGCACCAAGAATTCCAGATTGAATACGGTAGAGGAAAGAAAAGAGTCAATTGAGCTGTAGCATGATATACTTACTGTACACATCCGTCCGCGGCGAGAGTGAAGGATACTGAGCGAGGACATTGGCAACATCGTAGTAAGTGCGGTTGGGATCTTGGTAGGTTTGCTTGGGATCGTAGTGATCCTTGCAAAGTCAGTATTCCTCTAGGCTGGAGAGAATTGAAAGTAGGAACAAACCCGACTCAGCACACTGTATAGCCAGTTCAACGTCCTCTGCGGCACTGTAGCCATGTCGAGGGGCCTGATGCAGGAGCCAGCATGGTGGGAAGTTGTCATTTCAGGGATCCTCACCCAAGCTAAAGGCACTCTCCATCTTCCCCCGCATCGGGTCTTGGCTAGAGCCATCACTGATT